CCGGCTCCGCCGGCGGGGCCTGCTGCAAAGCGCGAGCGCCTCCGTGACTGTCCTGGTCCTGGACGAGAACGACAACGCGCCCACCTTCCCGCGAGGCCGGGTGTTTCTGAAGGTCCGGGAGAGCCCCGTCCCCCTGGGGGTCATCGGCAGGGTCGCAGCCACTGACGCGGACTCCGGAAGGAATGGACAGCTGTCCTACTTCCTGCTGTCTGACGGCGCCTTCTTCAAGATGAACCCGAGCACAGGTAGCGTTGTGTGGCTCCCGCTCCTTGGAAATCAGCGTCGGGAAACGGAAAGCTGTAGGTACAGTCGTAGTTCAGATGCAGAGGTAAAACTACAGTTCTTGGTGAGTGCAGTGTTACGTGACTTTTCCATGAAGTTCAAAGTGGAAAGGTTTTCACCTACCAGGTTCCCGTACAGATCGCCCATGAATGCCCAGGCCGAATAATGAAGTCAGTCAGCGACAAACTGCGTTTAAGAGCCCGAGGTCCCGTACACTTACAGTGGAGACCAGAAAGTGTCGCCTTTTCGGTGTCTAGATACACAGATACCTGTCTGTTATAGTGGCAGTGTTCAGTACAGCTCGTTCTGCGCAGGACTGCAGGGGCCGTGGGCTGATCTGTGCTACACTGTGTACAGCTGTGATCGCCGATGCGTGTCGTAGGGGCTGTCTTCTGGGTTTGTGTAAGCACGCGGACGTTCACACCGTGGTGAAATTGTAACAGGTCGCCTTCGAAAGGCTGGCGACGCCCTGCATTACCTACTCTGAATCAGAGATAAAGCCAGAATCTCACATCAGTAGATCCTGTATGAAGGTTGGTTTTCCTCTCCAACTGTTCAACCCATTAAGTAGGGTCAGGACATATTTATGAAATGTGAATCATCCATTAGTTAAGATTTGAAGATCACCTTCAGGATCTGTGTCTCCTTTCTCATCTTGGTAAGGGAAATAGGGAGAAAGGAAGAATAAATTAATTATTTTCCAAAGTCTTAATTTTAAAACTAAATATAAAATTATGCTTTAAAATTTGTACTCTATAAATCTACGAGGGCTTTGATCCCTACAGCAAAATGTACTTATACTGCAAAGACGTAACGGGGAAAACAGATTCAGGTAGCTGAAGTAAGGTCCCAGAGCTGGCCAGGGGTACAAAGCAGCCACCAAAACAGCTTCAGAAGTTTTGGAAGTTTCAGATTGTGTCACAGCCTGTGTTGTGGTGTTGTCGTGTTGTCCCCCCAGCCCACCCTTGGGTGAGACAGGGTTTAGATTCCATCCTGACTCCAAGCCTCAGCTGTGAAGGCGGGACCTGGGAATTGAGTCCTTCCCTCACTCCGGCAGGCGGGGCTTTGCCGCAGCCGCGGGGCTTTGCCGCAGCCATGTGGCTGCCAGGAGGGGTGCAGGCTGGGTGTCAGCTCCTGGTGCGCCCCAGCCAGCGCTGTACCTGCTGGGCACAGGCTGCCCAGGTGTGCAGAACGGCCCTGCTTGCTCTCCATGCCGCACGATGGGGGCTTTCCCAGGCCATTGGCTTCACTTGGTCATTTCTCTAAATTTACAAACTACAGCTGGTTCCCTCCAGATCTTCCTTGTCCTACAGGGGGTCTGGGACCCAGAATCAAAAGATCAGACGACCACTCCTCAGTTTTGTGGTGTGGCTTCAGCGAGGAGCTGAACCCCAGAATTCGGTAGAGGGGATGGTTCCTGAACAGCTCTGCCTGTTGATCCAAGCTGGTTTATGAAATAAAAACATGTTTGCTCTTCAGAACGGGGGGTGCTCAGAAAACTGCAGTGGAGAATTTGAAAAATGCAGGTGCACGTGTGACTTTTTACTAAAATTGCAGTCATAATTGACACTATTTAACATGTACTTTGTGGGGTCAGTCTGACAGTTCAGCTCAACGATTCAGTGACTTATCCAAATGTGAGTTTTGTGTCTCACTTCGCCACTTTATTTATTTATTTGTAAATGTAATGTCATTTTATTCGTATTTAAACAGGAAAAATCTTGGCCACCTGACTGTTTAGTGCCCGGGCATAGTGGTACATGGCTATGAACCCAGGACTCTGGGAGGCTGAGTCAGGAAGTTAGCACATTCGAGCCCTGCCTAAGTAATTCAGTGACTCAGTGCGACTCTGAAAATAAAAAATAGAAAAGGCTGAGGATGTAGCTTAGTGCGAAGGTCCTGGGTTCAGTCCCCAGCGCTGTGAGAGCAAAAGGTTGATGGCTACTTCTTCATGTTTCCCTTCCTCAGAGAGATGTTTTGGTCCACACCGAGGACTAGGATTTTCTGCTCTGCACTGCGGGAGGTGTGGAGAGGTAGAAGCAGGTACAGATCTGTGCTGCAGTCTTCATGGCTGAAATGTGAAGGGATTTACCGAAGGCACCACAGTTTTAGGCCAAAAATACAGTTACAGGTGAAAAATAGTTACTTGGGAACTTGCTGTCTGTTGGTGCACATATATTTCATTAGATTAAAAAATTTTATGCACTTGAATAAGCCATTCCCTAGGGGTACTGTTTTCAGGAAGATATTTTACCCTCGTTTGGAAGGGGTGGTGACAAGGGCCATGTGTGCAGTATTTACAGCTTAGGGTACTTTTAGGTCTGTGGTCGCTGCTGCTGAGATGGCGGCCCTGGGAGACCTGGGGCCCAAACCGACTGGTGACCTCATCCCTCACATGCTTTCCACTGTTTTCTGCAGCAGCATAAAAGAAGCAGGCATTTTAAGTCCCTGAATCCCTTGGTTTTATGAATCCGTATTTGTTTGGTTTCACTGGGTGATGGCAGATACTTTGAACCATGGAGTACACCAGGTCTGAACTGGCCTTTTCAAGGGCAGCTTCAGGAAAGTCTTTCAGTGGGCGGTGGAGCCAGACAACATGTGAGTGTGTCCTCCGGAGCCGCGCTGCTGCCAGAGCTTTCTGCTTGCGGACCCTCCGTGGGGTACTTTGGGGGCGTCTCCTGCTGCCAGGGGCGCAGGCAGCGTCATTGTCCTTTTCTGGCCCGTGTCCCGCAGGTGAGCTGGTCAGCTGGCTGGCCCTGGATCGCGAGCACCAGATGCACCATCAGATGACTGTCCTGGTGACCGACCACGGCTCGCCGCCACGGAACGCCACCATGGCGGTTTATGTCACAGTCACCGACACCAACGATAACAGCCCATTTTTCCCGCAGTGTCTCCCAGGGAAGGAATTCTACATCAAGGTTTGTGAAAGCAGCCTTGTAACGATTTGTAGTATTCTGAATCATTTGCTTTGAGCGCCATCTTGTGGTAAGAAGTGTAAATTTATCAGATCAGTCTTGTGACCTTGCACATACAGTTTTTCTAGAGGACCGAGAAATTGTGCCTGTGTCAAAAAAACAAAAAGCTCCAGGTGTGGTGGTGCACGCCTGTAATCCCAGCACTCAGGAGGCTTAGGCAGGAGGGTCACTCCAAGTGATCCAGGGCCAGCCTGGGCTACATAGTGAGACTAAGAAAACAAAAAACAAAAACAAAAACAAACAAAAAATAAGACCAAACAAAAAAAAAAAAGAAGAGGAAAAAAATGGATGCATGTGTTCCTTGGAGTTAAACCTCCAGCTGTTTTTCTGCACAGGATTGTAGTTTATCCCTTCGTATGTGTGTAACACGCTCACACACATCTCCTGGTGTCGAACCCAAGGGACACGTGGCACGAGCAAGATGAGGTGACCCCAGGAGCGGCCTGTGGTTCTACAGCAGGTGGATGTACATCCGGTGATCGTAAAATTCCTCTTCCTGCACACATGCATGGGTTTCGATTTCAGTTTCTCTTTTCTGTTTCCACGTCTTTTGTAATATACATACATATAGTTCTTGCGTATAATTAATAAGTATGTTTTGGGGGTACTCATGGTTTTTAATGGCTGAGTTATAAAAAGTTAGGAAACGACTCCTCCAAAACAGTTGAATTAGACCTTCAAATTGTGCTTAAACATGCACACTGAAAAGCTCAAAAACGTATTGGAGAAGCTCATCACTGTGATCTTCCAAAGCTAGATTTAGAGAAGAATTTCATCAAAGCAAAAAATCGTCACATTATCAGGTGACTTATGATCTTGTCATTAACACATCCTGTGCTTAATTGGACAGTTGAACTCACACATATATTTCAGTATTTCAGGAAAGTTTCTGTTAATTACTGAGTTTCCTGTGTGAGGTATATGTCCTGAAATAAAATCTCAGCTGGGCGTGGTGGTGCACGCCTGTAATCCCAGCACTCGGGAGGCCGAGGCAGGAGGATTGCTGTGAGTTTGAGACCAGCCTGGGCTACGTAGTGAGTTCCCGGTCAGTCTCAACTACATAGTGAGACCCTGTCTCAAAAAACCAAAAAATTAAAATTAAAAAAATAAATAAAATAAAGGCTCAAGTTTATCTAAGCATATTTTGTATGGTAACAGTCTTTTAAAATATAACCTCAGAAGGTGGTAAATGAGAATATAACAGAATTATTTTTAAAAACCTAAAATATGAATTTTTAATTAATCTTTTTCTTTTTAAAAATTTTTTATAAAATTGGTTAAAGTGCCTTAGATGATTTGTTCAAAGGGAGTAAAAAATTTAAATTTGTAAGGTGGATTCTTTTCATGGACTTTCACTCATCTAGTTTTTACATGGTAAACATTTGAATTGTATGCGGGCTTTAAAATAGTTCAAAATGCTTAGTGTGATGTGTTCTTTTCAGTAAAGGCCCGCTGCTACTGCTTGTAAGAGTTCAGTGACACATCTGTAGCCCTTTGTTTTGATGACAGGTTTTGGAAGACCAGCCAGTAAATACATTGGTTACAACTGTGTTTGCAAAGGACCTCGATGAAGGAGACAATGCGGAAATTACCTATTCCATGGCCTCAGGTAACAGCCCTTATGCACTAAGTGTCAAGAGCTTTAAACCCTCTGCCGTCCATCAGCTGTGTTTCTGTTTCTAGAAGAGCGTGTTCTGTGTTGACTACTCAGAACCCTCCAGGTGAGCTTGACCACAGCACCAAACAAATGGCACCAGATACATTTGTTTTTGCCAGGACTCACATTCACTTAAAAAATAATAATTTTACAAGTTTAGTGAAAACTCACTGCTGCTTTTTTGTCCTAAGGGAAACCACCTGTGTTGAGTGGGTAATTTGCAATAATCTGAAGAAAAAAATCAACTTTTATTGAAAACAAAGTAGTAGTCAGTGGGTAAGAAGCAGTGTCCTGTGTGTTATGAGGCCTGTGCATCTATCTCAGTGAAGACTACATACTACTGAGAACAGAGTGCAGCATAACTGGCTGCATCATATCTTAAATCAAATGCTAGATAGCTGTGTACGTGGAAAATATCAGGCACAGTTTTGTGATGTATCGTAGCATGTGCAGGGCTCAGATTTGTTGCAGCGATGAGCTTCAGTTGGTGTTATGTCTTACATCACTTTAGAACATATTTGTTGCTTCGACTTGATGCAAACATGAAATCGAGATACAGAATTGCCCTTCCCTGCAGTTGACTGTCTTCGTGTAAAACACGAGAGGTACCATGGACAAAGCATCAGAACAGAAGATAGCAGCTTCTCCGGGATGTCAACGTACAAAATGCAATAGCATTTTAAACTCTTAAGAAGTTTTTCCAAGATCACACTCACTGTAGTGCATTTGCAAAAATAACCATACAGTTGTGGACAGATTTTCTTGTGTTCCGAGGCAATAGGCAGTCACCTAAGTCAGAATCTGCCTGTTAAGGGACATAGGAAAATTCTAATAAGGCATGTGGAAGACCTTTCTGTAGAAAATTGCAAAGTAATAATGAAGGTCACATAAGACAAATTGAATAAAAACTGTATCATGTTCAGTTTAAGAGATCTCAATAGCCTAAAGATAAAAAACCCTTAAAATATATTGATTAGATTCATGTATTTATACCTGAACTCCCAATGAGTTTGTGGTGGAATTTGACGAGTGGAATCTAAAAGTCATACGCATAGCAAATAACAAAGAGTAACTAAGACGGTGTCAATAGAACGAGTAGGAGATCTGCCTCACCAGAGCGGACTTATAAAACTTCTAATTAGGACAATATCATATGGACTCATTGATTAACTAGTGTGGCAGTGGAGAACGGTGAAGAACTTGGCTCACAAACATGGAGAGTAAATAATATGGAAAATGGGGAAGAGGCGGACTGTCAGCATCTGAGCCAGGTGTGATTTGTAGCCCATTTAGAAAAAGAAGAGGAAGTACTTCCCTGTCAACCTAGCAAAGATGCAGTCATTTAATGTGAACATCCCTCTTCCTTATAGAAAAAATATAAGGAATTAATTGCATGCGATTGAGGGTGAGGAAGGATTTTTAAACAAGGAGAGCAAAATTCACAAAGAAATGGATGAGTAAAACCACATTAAAACTAAAAATTTCAGGAAAGATGCCATTGTTTACAATGTTGCAAGTCATGCTACAGATTGGGAGAAAATAATTGAAACCCGTGTGACAAAGACAAAATTGCATTCAGACTTTATTAAGGACGCTACAAAGCAATAAGGAAAGGAAAAATAAATACAAAGCTAGACAAAGGAGGTGAGCAGATTGCAGGGTGGTCACAGCACAAGCGTTCAGACACCCAGCTTCCCTGGCACAGCTTGTCGAGCAGTGAAGCGATGCCCAGGCTCCTTGGAGCTGTGCTGTGCTGTGCTGGTGCAGCTCACCTCTGGGTCCCACCCTGGTGCAGCCATGGGAGTGTGCAGAATGGGCACGGAGCAAACAGTTTCAGTAGCATGTGTAACGGGGCATGTTTGAGTGAAATACTCTACAGCAATGAGAATGAAAACACTAGAGCTTTATACGCATTGACCTAGACGGGTCTTGGAACATAAGTGAAAAAGACAGATTACATGGGCATGGTGGTGCACACCTGTAATCTCTGCACTCTGGGAGGCAAGAGCAGGAGGACCAAAATTCGGAACCCAGCCTGTGCAACTTAGTGATTTGGCAAGACTGTTCCTCTCAGTGAACAATACAAAAAGGTCTGGGTAGGTAGTGCAGTATGAAAGTCCTAGGTTCAATCCCCAGCTCTGTCTTAAAAAAAAAAAAAAAAAAAAAGGCAGGTTACAAAAGATGACAAGGATTCTGTACCAACAGTGCCTTCGAGCTGCTTCGAGTGCCTTTCATTGGGAAATTATAGATGGTTCTCATTAGCTCCACAGTCCAGGAGCAAGCTCTCCTTTGTAGTCCCACGACCACATAAGGAGGGCAGCCTAACTTCTGCGTGTGTGAATATTTCAGAAGGTCTTCCCAAGCCCCCAGCAGATCTGGACAGCAGATGTGTGCATTGTCCAGAGGGAATGAGCCCGCTGCAGCAGGGCCATATTTAGGAAGAGCTGCTCATTCTCCTATTTTTTATTAATCACACCTCGAAATTTTCTTCAATAATCCTTTAAAAAATGTATTAGTGCATATTAATTAGAATAATGTATTTCACTTTGAAATATTCTAACAGTTTATAACATAAATTGTTTTTAACCCGGTTCCCCTCCTTTCTTTTTCCTCTTCCTCCTGAGCACTTTTCTGTTTTAAGATAGCCTCTCCCCTACTTTCCGGTAATCTCTTTGGTCTCTAGTTCTGTGTGTTTGTTTTTATTTCACATACGTGAGAATGTGTGCAATATCTGACCTTCTGAAGCTGGCTTATGGATGGTCTCCAGTTCCATTCATTTCCCTTCCCTTGTTTTGTTAAAACAAATCAATTCAAACTGCAGGAAAGACCTAGATATATGACGTGAAACTTTTCCACTGCTGGAAGAAAACATAGGAGAAGCACTTGAAGCCATAGCGCAGGCGAAGATTGCTGACTTTGGTTACAATAGCACAGAAAATGATAGCAAGAGTCAATAAATGGGATCACATCAAAGTAACAAGTTTCTTCATAATGAAGGGAAAAGCAGAGACAGCCCCAGAATGGAAGACAATCTGCAGTCTCTTTTTCTGGCAGAGGATTACTATCTAGAATACATAAAGAACATAGAAAACACCCCCAAACCAACTATCCTGACCAACAAATTGACAAATGAATAGATCCTTTTTCCTAAAAGAAGTACAAATGGCCAGTAAGCATATGAGAAATGCTTAACATCTTTCACCATAGGAACAAGCAAAAGTACAATGATAGTCCATCTCAGCTCAGTCCAAATGGCTATCACTAAGAACACACACAGGGGGGGTGAAGGGAGGGCAGGGACAAGGGGAAAAATGAGAACCAAGACCTGGCATGTAGAGGTACAAGACCCCAGTCATGAATGGAACTGTACTGTACTGTACCTAGAATGTACCAATGAACTCAATAAAAAAGAACACACACAGACACACACACAGATACTGGTGAGGATGTGAGGGGAGGAACCTGTCTGCATTGCTGATGGGAAGGTAAACTAGTAAAACCACTATGGAAATTAGTATGAAGAGTCCTCTGAAAACTAAAAGTGGCAATACAGTTTGATCCAGCTATAACATTCCTCAGTATATTTGCAAAAAAATTAAAAAGATAAAATAATACAGTGATACATAAATACCCGTGCTTATAGCAGCACAGTTAACAATGTCTAAGCTACCCTAGATCCTCATCGACAGATAAAATGGATAGAGAAATTGTGATGTGTGTGTGTGTGTGTGTGTGTATTATTCAGTCATAACCAGTGAGATCTTTCCAACCTCTACACCTAAACTCATCCTGGGAAGAAACTGGCTTTACTGGCTTTACAAGTATGTATTCACAAATCTTTCTGTGACTATTAAATCAGATCAATAAGATCTTTGTATCACTTTTTTCCATTTTATTTTCAGCTGCTGAAGGGAACATGGTATACCTGTAAAAGATGGTCAGGGTAGACGGACATACATGCACCCACTCACAGATTAATACATGGAGCTATAATCCTTCTTTATTAACATTAATTAAAATAGACAAAAGCCATGTTAAGCATATTTGTAAGTGCATGGATTAGAAAAATAACCACATTTCATGTAGGACGGTGACTTTCTATAGAAAATCAGGTAAGGAGATCTGATATGCAGAGGCCCTCTGTTTTATTTATACTTTGTCATATTTTATACTTTATCATGTTTTGTTAATGAAATATTGGGAAAACAACAGTCCAGAAGGTGATACATTTATGTTCACCATATATTTCTGAATGTTTAACTTTCTATTTTTTTAAAATTAATTTTTAAATGATGCTTGGGGACATAGCAAGTTAAAAATACAGTGATTCTTTACATTCATTACAAAATTTAGGCAACTAAAAATACAATATTATAAAATAGCATGATAAAAATTACTATAACTGGAACAAAAATGCATATCATACTCACGGGAACATTCTTCATTACTCCTGTAAGACTGAAGAGAGTGGGTTAAAGCCTAGAAACCACAGCTAATCAGTGTTACCTCCCGTTCAGTCCTCACTCCTGCGCTCTGTGAAGGCAGGGGTTCTTTTTTATTTGCCTGAATGTCCCCTATAACTGCTGAAGTACCGTTCAGGGTTGGTGACTCAGCAACTGTTGAACCAAAGAGAGTTTTTCTCCTCAGGCTTTATGTGAACTGGGGTTTGTTTTGTGTTGTTTTTGTGTTTTTTATGATTTGAAATATTCAAATTGCTAAAGAATGCAACCTGCTATTTAACTACAAGCAGCCATTTAACCATGGCATCAATTTGAATTATAAGCATCAACATGAATCTATTATACATGTTAATGTATAACTGTTCTCTGTCCACTGGAAAGGCCTGGGAATGATGACCAAATCAGAAACCAAAGAGTATTCCAAATGTCTGGACTATGGTGCCAAACCACTTTTCATAAAAAGGAACCAGAAATCATAAGATAAGCGGCTGATTCCAAGTTTTGGACAGGAGATCTTGTGCTAGCAGATAGAAAGAGGTTACTTAGGACAGGAAGGGTCCTGCCAGAAGACCTGGGATCTCAGCTTCAGTGAAGAAAACCCTGGCAATGTGCTGAAGCACATCTGTTTAAATGCAGCTTAGTGATTCTTAAAGAAGGGTGAAACTACTGATCACAGTTGCAGCTGCAGAGGATGTCCCTGAACCAACACATTATTCCAAAGCTGATTAAATAAAGTATAGCATTCTGTATTTCCTATAGTGAGCTGATCCTCTGGAGTACCAAAAAGTAGGTAAAAGGAAATTCCTCTTTCTTGAAATACCCCAGCTAAGAAATAACAGAGAATAATGCAGAAAGCAGAATATTACAGACTTTGCAATATCTAATGCACCCATGGACCTAGGCTGGGAATCAGCAGGACCGACGCTGACACCAGAAGGTAACCGGACACGTGCTTCCAAAGAGAAACACAGCATTTATGCAGTTGTTTTCCAGAAATCAGTCTGAATCTGATCAGTTCTCTAGATCTTCCCAATGCAAGGACAACACAGGACAGAGGAACATCATAAGCTACACAGTGTATGCAACAGCCAAATGTAGACCATGGGAAAGTTCGAAACACATGGTCCAGTTTCTTCAACAGATGAGTGGCAGTGCAGAGCTAAAAAGACGGATGGTGGGAGTCCAGAGGTTGAAATAGGTAATAGATGGGGTTTTGTGCTGATTTGAGCAAGCAAACATGTTTATGAGATGATTGAAAAATTTAAAACTTACTAGGAATCGGTTTTTTTGGAAGTTTAAATACTGTGATAATTTTTAAATATTCCTCGTCCTTTAGAGACGCATGTTGTGAATTCTACACAGAAGAAATGATATGATTTGTGAGACTTCAAAAGAAAATGAGGGAAAGGAAGTTGTATAAATTAAAAATAGATGAAATATGATTATTGTGGTTCTGCCACCAGCCTTGCAAGCGCAAGGTCCCGAGTTCAATCCCGGTACAAAAAAAAAAAAAAAAAAAAAAAAAAAAAAAAAATTATTGAAGCTAGGTGATAATAAGTACAGGAAGTTCATTATATAAGTTTTAAAACTGTTCTGTTTCTTGTCTATATTTTAGTGCCATCTTTTGGTTTAAATTTATTCAAAACTGATATAAACATAACCACTGTACAGATATCGGGATGCTCTGATAGTTTGATACATATGCCCTGTATGTGTATTCTATAAGGTTTTATCAAGCTGAATGTGTCTGATCATGACTCTTAGGGAAATAAATATTCCCTAATGATCATAAATGTACTGGATTAACTCCGTTTTCTGTCTTGTCAGTTCATATTAGTTTCTAAATTTCTTTTTTTTTGTGTGTGTGTGTGTGTGTAGAAGATTATTCTGATCATTTTAAGATTGATGCCAACAGTGCTGAAATAAGAACAAGCACGATACTCTCCTATGACTACAGACCCTCCTACAGGCTGACGGTCATCGCCAGTGACCAGGGCCAGCCTCCACTGCAAGGCTGGGCAGTGCTTCATGTCCAGGTAACGTTGTCACTGTAAAGTGAGGGAGATTGTGCTCAGGGCCTCACTTTATTTTTATACAAACAGACAGAATGAAAGTACATTTAATGCATGGGTATTATTTCAAGGTCACATTGCATACTCGTATTTACATTCTTATTATCAGGAAATTGAGTCCAAATACTTTTTTAGTTTCATGTAGTACTTGACAAGACATTGCTATGTGGATGCTTCTTACATTGCTTTGTTTGTGGTGAACAAGTGATGACTTTTCTTTCCGTTATTCCTAATCACAATAACTTGGCAGCCTTGCAGGAGAAACATCTTTATTAACGCATAGCCACATAAAGTCACGAAGTTGAAAGCAGTTTTTAAAGCTTAGATCCGTTGCTTAAGTTCTGTATTTATGGCTTCATAATAAGCAAACAAGTTTTATAAAGTGTTCATAGTAGGTAAAAATTTTACCAACCAGCAAAATTAAGATGATTGTGCGTAACTGGATTTCTTTGTTGATGCACAGTATAATCAGATATGTATCAGTATATAAAATATGTACAATGCAAATGTATAATCTGCATTTATAACATATGCGTTTTATGTATATGTAAACTCAAGAGTATATTGCCCCGAGAGTTCTGTTTTCAAATTATATTCTTTATAGATTAAAGATATGTATGTTAGAAGAGAAACATATATAATCATATCTCAAATTTGGTGTTTCCAGAAAGTCATGGTATAAAGTTATGTATAAAAATGCCACAATGGATAGACATTTGAATGAATAAACATGTTATTATGGACAGATTGGTCCCTAGGACTTGGAAAACTAGCTGTTCTACATTCCAATTCCAGAATCATGAGGCTGCATTTCAACTCAGTCATTGCACAGCCTCAGCAAACTAGCATAAAATTACAGCAGACTGAAAGTTAGAGAGTTCTGGCATTTTGTATCTCCTCAGTATCATTACACGATTTCAATTTTCTGAGCATGCTGAAATTACATCTTACAAAAAGATATTTTTCTCACCAATTAGCACGTTTGCATCACACAAATAGGAATTAGCTTCCCAAGTGATGTCATAGCATGTATTGATATTTGCTATTAACTGTTACTATTTAGTCAATTATGTAACTATGCAAAATGAACAGCTTCTGTTTATTCTGATCTCAGGTGATACCACTGTCCAAAGGTCAGGTTTTCATTTCTCAGAATATCAGACATTTAGTGATTCCAGAGAACTTGAAGCCGGCAAAAATCACGAGCTTGATGAAGTCCCCTGAGCACCTCCAGCAGTATCACAGTGGAAAATTGCACTTTAGTCTTGCTACAGAGGACAAGAATGGTCACTTTGAAATTGACAGCTCAACAGGAGACTTGTTTCTTTCTAAGGAACTGGATTATGAAACAACCCCGCGTTATGTTTTCAGGGTTATAACCAAAGACCACAGCCAGAGTCCTGCCCTGAATAGCACCGTCTTCCTCAGTGTTGATGTGGAAGATCGAAATGACCACTCCCCTGCCTTCCAGGACCGGGTCATTGCGATAAGCATAGAAGAGAACGTTCCCATAGGGACCCTGGTGCACACGTTCCATGCCAAAGACGGTGATGGTAGCTTTTTGAACAGCAGGGTACAGTACTTCATCGAATCCCTCCACCCTGGTTCGAACCCGTTTCTCATCCACCCCTCATTTGGCACATTGGTCACCGCGGCCCCCTTGGACAGAGAGAGCGTCCCGGCCGTCACGCTGATGGTCACCGCATCCGACCAGGCTGTGAATGTGACAGACCGGCGCTCCAGGTCACTGATAGCCAAAGTGGTGATTCTGGATGTAAATGACCACAGCCCCGCTTTCGTGTCCTTGCCCATCGCCTGTGTCCGAGAGGACGCCGCCGTGGGCTCTTCCGTGCATCGTGTACATGCTCGAGACCCCGATGAAGGACAGAATGGGAAAGTGACCTACAGCATCCGCTCCGGAAATGCAGACACAGCCTTTGTGCTCGATGAGTCATCAGGTACAGTGCCCTGGAGTCACTTTAAGACATCTTTATTTTATTTTATTGTGGTAAGAAAACCTAAGATGAAACTTTCCCTTCTAACAAATTACAACACATCATCCTTCCCTCTGGTGCAGTATTGTACAGCAGATCTTTAGAGCCTCCTCGTCCTGCTAAATTGAAATTTCAGTGTCTCATCATTTCCCTGTCCAGCCCCCTGACGTCCACCATTCCACTCTTTGGTTCCATGAATTTGACATTTTAAATATTTTGTAGCAGTAGAATCACGTGGTAGCTGCCTTTTTAAAGGCCAAGCAATATCCCACTGCATACGTGTCTGCCGTAGTTTCTCCCCTTGCATGGGGGTAGTCATTCACTGTTGCTCCCACAGCTGGGCTGTTCCACACACTCTCTGCAGCAAACGTGGGGATGCTGCTGTCTCCTGTGGCTGCTAATGTCAGCTGCTTTGGATAAATATCCAGAAGCGAAGTTGCAGACTGTGGGACAGTTATTTTAAGTTTAAGACTATTTTTCAGAGACTCCGTACCTTCCAGCTGACAGATTTTGCATCACGAGCAACGTGTGGACAGGTGTTTCAGTTTGCGCACTCCCTTGATAAGTGCTGTCTTTTCTCTGTGTGTGATAGTAGCTGTCCTGACAGTTGTAATAATTCATGATGCTTTTGACTTACGTTTCCCTGATGACTACTGACATGAATTATTATTTTTTTATATACTTGTTGACCATTTTTATGCCTTTGAGAAGTGCCTGTTACAGTTCTCTCTTTTTGTTGTTGGTTTTTTTTGTTTGTTTGTTTTTTTGGGGTTTTTTTTAGGTTTGCTTGGCTTTTTTCTCATTCTGCTGTAAGAGTTCTTCATGTATTGTGGATAATAACCCCTTGAAAATGCTTTCTCACACTGCGTAGTTGCCTTTTCTTTGCTTCATAGTTGGGCAAATTCCCACTTTCGCTTTTGTTGTCACATCCGTGAAACCACTGCCAAAACCAACGTCATACAGCTTTTCTTTATTTTTTTTCTAGGAGTGTTGTCCTCTCTGATCCTAATTGACCCTTCTCCCATTTTGAGTTATTTAAGGACCCGATACAGGATAAAGGTCTCGCTTCGCCCTTTTGCACACGGATATTCAGTACCCGCACCATTGGCTGAGAATTCCCCATTATGTACCCTGCTGGCTTGCCCGAAGCAGGCAGCCATTCTTTCTGGGATCTCTACTCCGTTTCTATTCCCTGCGTGACTTTCTCAAGCCCAGTATTTGTCCTTTTTCATTACTGCACCTTTATGATAAGTCGTGAAGGAAGTGTGGTGTTTCCAGCTGTATTGTTCATTCCTAAGGTTATTTCGGCTATTTGGAGTTCTTTGAGATTCTATATGAATTTTAGCATTTACTTCTGTTTCTTCCCCAAAATGTCACTGGAAACTTTGTAGGGATCACGCTGAATCTGTAGGTCATTTTGGATACTTTTAACATTTTAACAGTTTTTTTTCTTTCCATGGACATGGAATAGCTTTCCATCTGGTATGTGTTCTTTAATATGTTTCATCAATATTTTGTGATTTTTTTGGCACATGAGTTCCTTATCAGCTTAAGTATTTCTGACTAAGTATTTTATTCCTTTTGGTATCATGGTAAATGGGATTTTTATAATTTCCTTTTCAGAAAATTCCTGTGAGTGTATAGAAACAAGTTATTTTAGATGTTGATCTTGTATATTAACTTTACTGAACTTGTTTGTTGTAAGTCATTAGGGCTTTCTATTTAAAAGACAATGTAGTCCATGTCCAGGGATAATTTTACTTCTTTCTTTTTGATTTGGGTACCTTTTCTTTCTTTTTCTGTCACTTGTAATTAAAGCCTATTATCACCTACTTACCTTCAGGCTTTTCATTTCCCCTTGTTAAAATGTTCTCGGCATGCAAATGCTTTAATAACTTTAAAATGTTTGGCTTCCTTTACTTATGTGTATAATAAGCACAGAAAGTGTATTTGCAAAACCAACTTTATTCGACCTGTTTATTAACATTGTGTTTTGTGGCTGGATGTACAACAGGGGACTCCTCTGCTGTCCCCGTGTGGCACCTGGTGGTAGGAGATGGCACCAAAAGATAGCCACATACCTCATCGACAGAGTCTTTCAGAGACTCGGATGTAGAAATTACCTTTTGATTATGCAGATATTTGCAAATAGCTGAAACTGCTGTTTTAATTATTGAATTCATTTGGACATCAAGACCCTTGCTTTTCACATCAGTTGTAGAATTTTATTTTTCTTTTAAATGTTCTTATTAGTACATGTTGGCAGTACTTGATACGGTGACCTTTACCATGAGGAATTGGTTCGCATACACGTTGCGTGTTGATCAGTTTTACTCTTCCTTTCCCTTCTGTCCTCTCTCCTTCCCCCAGCCCCCTTTCCACGTCCACAGAGCCCACCTCCCTGCTTCCTACTATCTCTCCTTTATTTTGCCCTTTAAGTTATTTATAACTTGGATTTCTCATATTAGAGAAACCATGTGATGTTTGTCTCCCCAGGTCTGAATTACCCCACTTAGCACCGCGGTCTCCAAGTCTGTCCATTTTCCTGCAAACGACTTGAATTGTCCTTTTCTGAGGCTGAGTTGTGTTCCACTGTGTATACACACCACATTTTCTCCATCTAACCATCTGATGATGGGCATGTGGGCCGCTTCCATGATTTAGCTGTAGTGAGTTGTGCCGCTAAGCCACGAGTACCCATACATCGCTATAACATGATAACTTTAACTCTTTTGAGAATGTACCCGGAGGAGGCATGGCTGGGCCAATGGGATTTCTAGTTTTAGTCTTTTGAGGAACAGCACTAGGGAAATCAATAACACTTATTTTTTTTGCAGAAACATTTATTCATTGTCGAGTACTCTGTGACAGCGTCCCTCCCTGTCACTTCAGTTGTCTTGCTGTCACCACATTGCCAGATAACATCTAGAATATAATATTTTATGAATCTGATGAAAAAGAATGTGTACAAAGTACCGTTCTTGTGAATATGGAGATGGACCTCCCTCTACTTTATTTGCAGGGGACACTGAAAACTCAATGAACGTTAAGTCATCCTTTAAGAAATAAAGTCATTTCAACATGACCCTTGGGGGAGAAAAAAGTCTCAGAGGTGTATACCATTTGGCCCAACTGTTAATGAGAGCATGATTTGGAATGCAACTGAGTGTGTAGGACTTGGAAGTCATAATGATCGTCTGGCCCTGTTCTCTTGGAAAATTTCATCAAAATAGTCATTAGATCCCGTGCACATGGCTCCATTCTGGAGCGTGTGTCAACACCACCCAAGGGCCCAGCTGAGAGAGAGACAGTGCAGACACAGATGGCTGCTGTGTGAGAACGGAGCCTCTCCGAGGACCCGTTTCAACCATACTTAAAGTGTTTTCCAAGACAGCTGAGGCAGGTCTTTGTCAGATTGTTAAAGGAGAATGAGTGAAATCGGAATCGCGTCTCAGTAACCGAGGTATCATGCATCTTGGCCAAGTATAGAGGCTGTTTAAGCTGAGATACTTTTCGAAGACATAAAATGATAATTATCGAGTGCATTCATATGAGATGGGATTTATTTTTCCCCTCACAAGGCTCGAGTTTCTTATAAAATAGAAATAGTAAATGATTAAACAGCTAAAGGGCTGGGAAGTATAAAGTGATGAGTAATTGCTGATAAAAACTATATTTTTGGATCTGATTCACTACACCTTTTTAAGCGTTTGAAGAAAATTTATTAGAAGATGAGAGAAACAGCAATCATAAAAAAATGACAGTTATAATTACATAATGACTCTGTACAACACTACGTATATGATTTGTGATACAGGGGCATGTTGTATTTGTGAAGTTTATTGACTGAGTTATTACATCTTTGCCTTTGTTAATAAAAAGACACCTCAGGCAAGTATAAAGTGACCACAACTCCTTAACAAAGATAAAATGATTTAAACCATGTAATCATACTTAGTTTTTATAACTTGGTTACTTTTAAACAGGAAATGCCACACGCGTGAAAATATATAGTATCAGATGTCTTTTAAAGGGAGGTAAATCTTGGCTAGATACATAATTTAGTCACAGACAATGGCTTAGGATAGATTCTTTTTTAATAATCACTCATGCTTACAATTTAAATTGACTTTTCTGACTATACTTTCCTGATTTATTATTCTAGATCGTGTATAAATTTAAGTTGGTTTGATATAATTCATTCTTCAATGAAAAACTCAGAGTTTCCAATCGAGTTAGATGAGGTGGACACAGGCAGAACAAGCACACATGTAACTGACCTAAGGGACACCCGTAACATGTTGTTTGTCTTCTCTTTCAAAACAGGCTTACTAACCATAGCCCGCCCTTTGGATTATGAAGTAAAAACTCAGCACGTTCTGACCCTCGTGGCCCTGGATGACGGGGTCTCGGCACGTTCTTCTTCCCAGATTGTGACAGTTACTGTCCTGGATGTCAACGATGAGGCACCAGTATGTGAGCAGCACCTGTATGAAGCTTCAGTTAAAGAAAACCAAAGTCCAGGGGAGTTTGTAGCAAGGGTTGAAGCTATGGACAGAGATTCAGGTAATTTTAAAATATGATTAATGCTAAAAAGACACTCAAAGTTATCATTGACATAGTTTAAGTTGCAGAGTCCTCCAAAAAATGTATAAAAGAAAAGCTTGTACAAGGTGCGCACTCTCCTGGTTTAACACCTGCAGGGAACGCGATGTCGTCTATAGCAGAAAACCCACTACACTCCCGGCCCTTAGAGAAGACGTTGAAACGCATGTGCAGCAGGCTCGGTGACCAGAGTTACCCAGGCAGCAGTGCAGTACGCTAAGTATCTGGAAGCTCCTGGGTGCCACTGTGAGCACCTCTTGCCATTGCAGAGCCCAAAGGTAACTTGTATTAGCTGCAGGATATCTCAGGAAATTAGCTTTATAGTTCCATATTTAATAAGAATGAATTACCACAAGCAAAGAGCTTAGATCAGTGTCTGGCACAATAAGTGGTCAAAAAGTGTTAATTTCCAACATTATTGTTGCTATTATTAATATCAACCATATATAGTATTAATTATTATTATTAATATCAACCATTGGATATAGACAAATGACTTCAATACGAACAGTTGCCAGAGCTATTTATAAATTTCTTAGCCTTCTTTTCAATCACTATGGCTCTTTTCACATTAAAGATTCAGTAACTTTGTTTTTATTTTAAACAACATAATTATGAAAATTATATATTAGGGCTTTCTAAATAAGAGCATTTTTGGCATTTTCCCACTTGAACTAACGTGAATAGTTTAATAAGCCAGTCTTAAAATTTGCCATTGTACACAGCAAGTGGTATTATACATCTGTATACTTTGTTCCATTCTTACAAGAACTGTCATAGATGTTTTTGTGGAAATAGTAGGGTTAACAACAGCATTAAGCCCTTAAATTGTTAATCAGAAGACTAAAAAAAAAGAGGTTTCCTTGAAATTTTAAACTAAATTCTATACCACTTAACTGCTTTGTCTCTTTGGGAAACATCTTTTCGTGAAATCCATTTTACATGAATTTGTAGAAGGTGCTAAAAATACTCATTGTCTCTCTGGTGTGAGAAACTGAAAGTGTAAATAAGGACCAAAAAGAATAAAAGATATGGTGAAATAGGAAGACATTGCTCAAAATTATACTAAGGGTTAGATACCTTGTCAATAATTAAAATGAAAGAGGTAGATTAGCGAATGAAAATACATTCTTTTAAGACTATGATACACAGTGAATTTACCATGGTTATTCCCTAATAATTTTTGTTGTGAAAATTACTTTTTCATAGAACGGCTTTTATATTTTCTTTATTAATATCTTCTTGTATTACATTAAAATAAAATAAAAAATAAAATTCTGTCTTCTGACCAGAGCGGGGCAGTGTGAGCACAGTTTTTCTCACTGTGCTCAAAGGTAGGTGTGGAGCATCCCAGCAGTTTAGGCATCGGTGCTGAGAGAATGTATTTACATATTTTTGACAATACTCATTTTGGGGTGTGGGAAAAGACAGGTAAAATACATAAGCTTTGTGTTTGATAATAATTCCAGCTCTATAAAGTTCATTTAGGGTGTTGTCTGTGGTGAACAGAGCGACATGGGGCTCTGGGTAGTAGAAGTCACTTCCCAAAGTATAAGACTTTCACCGAGCCTACTGCTGGTACTGTGTGATTTATTAATCAAAGAATGCTTCTGCCCGTGGCCTTTTATTTTACAAATTTGATTCTTCAGTAATGAACTTCTCTTCCTTTAGTGCTTTCAGACAACGGAATTTCCCTCAAATGTTTGAATGCACTAACTAAAGATGATTACTGTGAGCACATTCTGACCGTCACTGTCGGATTGTCTAGTGTACTGCATTGTCTTGGAGGATGCGTTGTATGCAACCTGTCCAGTTTTAACTGACTTGAAAGCTTACTGTTCCAGATTGTGGCTGCTGATGGTAAACTGAGGTGCAGAGTCCTTGTTTTTGCCAGTTTGCAATAATGGATGTTTAACGTCTTCATTAGTCTCCTATAGCCTTGCATGTTTGGGAGACAGTTTTGACTTACTGGAAGTCTCAGTTTCTGATGAGCCAGATCTGTTAAGCAGGTGGTTATGTAAATGCATATGAATATTTGTGTGCATGCATGTGTTTCTGAATATATTTTCTCTCAGGTTTTCTTTTGTGGGGTCTTTTTTGGCTTAGTGGGTTAAAATAATGAAGTAGGATTATGCATGAGAATTGAATGACGTGGTCAAGATTTTAACATAACTGGCATTGCATTGGGATTTATGAATGGTTTACTTTATAGTATGTATTTTACTACACTTGATCTTAGCCAAAAGCCCGAGAAGCGATACAGCATGTATTTTAAAAATACATGACTTAATACCAGAGAACTTAACATATGTTTTCCTAGTATTCTACAATACAGTTTTTGAAAATGTAAGCATACAATATCGTTTGACATCCATCACCCACAGGGATTTGAGCACTGAATATTTATGGTGTACAACTCACACTATTCCGAGTTTTTTCTCATACTAAAAGGAAAATAACAACCACCAGATTTTAACTACGGTATTAAAACTGCAATAGCATTTGGTGCCACCAACAAGAGAGCCATTGTTAGTAAGCAAACATGGATCCCCAGGGGCCCCGCCCCAGCCCCTGGGTGGATGACGCAGGTTGGCTGACACATTTGCTCAGGAGTAGTGAATACACACAGTCTAACAGGACGTGGCCGTGTGGAAATATGGAACTAGTTCATGAGCTGTTACTCTGCAGACTAACACTCGGGCCAAGGAGAAGCAATATCTCATTAAATATGAGGTATCATTAACTTAAGAAGCCATCTGATTTCAGAAAAGTAAAACATGAAAAATGTCACAGAATTAATGCAAATAGACAAGGGTTCCTTGCTGTGGCCTTAGGAACACAGGCCCAGCTGATGGTGTCACCCTCTGGGAGGTGGCGAGACCCCTGGGCACAAACCCTGCAGAAGCAGGCTCGCGGACACCGAAAGGATTCGGACGCCAATGTGTCCTGATCTGTCGGATTTTGCAATTTTGACTTCTCACTCTTGTAGTCACTCCATTGGGTCTTCAGCCACTTTCTTCTCAAAGTGCCATTTCCCTTGTGTCATCTACTGAGGCCAAATAGCTGTCAGCTGTTCACCTGTGCTTCATCAGAGGCTTCCCCCGACCCGCTCTCCAGTTCTGTTCCCACCAGCAGCTGCCGCAGTTTCAGATCCGACCTGACCCATGGGTGCAAAAGGAGATCCACAGGTTTCAGGCCCAAACTCGTCGCCCCGACTCTGTGCCCCAAATCCAGCAGTGTAGATTTGCCCAAATTCCTAACGGAGGAATTCAGAGGTGGGGACTCCGTAGGGTAAATTCCTCCATCAGGACCACGAAGATTTGCTGCAGGAAGTCATGATGACTTGCTGAGGGGGGCCGCCACCTAATTAGGCTGTGGTACTTCTAATCACGTACTACTGTTGCTTGGGCTCTTGTTCGTTTTGGGTTGGTTCTGTCCCCACAGAGCTTCTTTATATAGAGTCCTGCTATACATGCATTTGCAGAAACGTTTAAAAGGGGACAAAAAAGAGTAAGGGCTAATAACTTCATGCAGAGATTCCGTTAAAACCAAAACTTTGGAACACACTACACACTGTTACTGCACTTAATTCAGTGTACTACAGCTGTACCACTGCCTGCTCACCTGCCTCCCTGAAAATTGTGAAGTGCTCCTAGATTAGGCTGCCTTATTTCCCTTCACTCTGGACATCTCATTTACTTTTATCACAAGTCCTTAAAGTAGTGCAAGATACAGCATAGGAACTCAATGAATATTTTTTACCATATGATGAGAAACTGCAGTAGGTGAGATATAAATTGCCTGGGGTTATCTGTCTTCTGTAGAATTTATTTATTTTTTCAAACCATCGACAAGACATGGTTGTCTTTTTGCTGTAGAAAAGACTGAGGGTGCGGTCACTGTATAGTTCATGAATTACAGGAAAAATGATCTTCCTAAAAAATTAAGCTGAGTTGGCATGGTGGCACACACCTGTGATCCCAGCACTTGGGAGACTGAGGCAGGAGGATCGCTGCAAGTTCAAGGCCAGCCGGGGCTACATAGTGTGTTCAGAGCCAGCATGAATTATAAAGCGAGACCCTGCCTCAAAAAAAAATTAATCTGAAAGTAAACTCCCACCCCACCTCGGAAGCATTCTTTATTAATTCTGCATAGGTTGGAAGGGAATATAGTTCTGTCCCTTTTATCTTGATTGCCAGGGATTTCGTGAAGCAGCTCCAGTTTTCCCATCTTCATCTCCTGTCACTTTCTGATAGATAGTTCAGGAAAGTTTCCGATCCTTAGCCTAGGGATCTGTACCTTTTTTTTTCCTATAAGAGGCCAGACAGTAAATATTTATGGCTTTTCAGGTTGGATGGACTCTGGTGTTGCCGCAGGACAGAGACCATAGATAATCCATGAAGAAATCAATGTGACCGTGTTTCAGTAGCATTTACACCAGCAGGGAGTGGGCCAGATGTGGCCAGGGGGGCTGCAGTATTCCAGTCCTTGATTCAGCACATATCTAATGAGGAGATCTGAGTTACTTTGCTACTTTCTGCCCCAAAATCCAGTTGTTATGATGTCATCAAAGTCACGAATCAAAAGTTATTAGGATGCTTTATTAGATGCTAAGAGGATCAATATGTTCTGAGTAAATGATGGAAAAGCTTGAATGAAGACAGATAGTCTGCTATTTCTGCTGGGTGGGCGCAAGTGATTTTTATAGTCCTCACAGTTTGATATGAGACACTGACTCTTCAAAGGTGGTCCCAAGACCAGTGGCACTGTGGTCCACCCCGCCCACAGATGACAGCCACCTTGTCGGAGATACTAGTGTCCCTTTAACCAGTCTACCCAGAGTCATTAGGGAGGGTGACTCCTCTAAATTCTTGGGAAATATTGAGCGTGAGTGGTGGGCATAGCACTCACAACAAATCCATCCTAACATTCCCATTTCCTTGAGTTTTGGATTCTTTAGGGCATAGCACGTGAGCAAAAGTTTGTCATCTCAACTTCCATGATTGCAGGCCACCATTGAATCTAGCCAGTCAAAGAAACTGTCAGGAACACAACTCTGAGATGGCACATTAAATGTGGAACCCCTCATAAATATACTATATCAATAAATCCACCTGAAGCCAATATTTTATCTTCCCACATCTCATATCCTTTTTTTTTTTTTTTTTTTTTTTTTTTTTTTTTTT